CCAAAAAATTAGAGATCAAAACTTATAACTGATTGTAGATGATTAGTTCTTCAAGTTGATAAGTACTTAGGTTAGTATTTCCATATGGATTATAGTCTTGAAGAATCTCATTCTCTAATTTTTCAAGTTTATTGAAAATCTTTTAAAACAACAACTACAAATCTGCGTAAATTAGTTTGTAGTCGTACTCGCTTTTTATCGGGAATTCAGAAGCAATCTAGCGGCCTTTCTAACAACACCGTAGTCACTATCCAAACTGTTACCTTTCCGTATTTTCTTGCTCAAAATGTTTTTTGTTCAGGCTGTAAAGCTCTTTAATTTACGCCTGTTGCCTCTGTTTCCCAATTGTCAATGGCATAAAATTTTAAGATGGACTTCTTTCACAGTCCAAAAAAAAAAAAATGATCCCATCAGTAGCATCACCAAAATGGTTAAGAAAAAACCAACATAAAACAGGAAGGCTCTTTTTTATCTCAAATCTTTTCTCAGCAATTTTTCAAAAAAAAATTTCTGAGAAGACATTTTAATTTTGAATGCATTGATGATTTCATTTGACTAAAGAAAGGAAGTCGTTGGTAATTTTCTAGAAGGATTACGCTTTTTTTTTTTCAAGTTTGGATAGATGAAAACACGCAAGTAAGACTCTTCTTTCTCAATAAACTTTGATGAGAATCTCTGGGTCACTGAAATTCATCCACTTAAGCAATTTGATCGTATCTTACCCGCTGTTCTGAATAGAATATAAGACTTAATTGATTTAGTGCAGCTGCTTTTTCGTAGTGTTTATTTACGGCTAGGCCTCTTCGACTAAAGCTTTAAAAAAATCATAATTTTATGAGGCTTTACATTTGGCAATAAAATTTACAAGCATTTCTAATAAAAAAAAAAGGTTTATTCTTTTGTTTTGTTGAACTTCTTTTAATTTCCGCTTAATAAAAAAAACATTCCTTCAACTTCATTTGATTTTTTCTTCTTCGACAAGTGGAATTATTTTAGTGCCATTTAGAAGACTGTAACAGTATACCAAAAAAAAAAAAAAAAAAAAAAAAAAAAAAAAAA